TAGGCTGATGGTTCTTATCAATTTTACTGTATACTTTGAAACATGAGAAGTCACATAAGAACCTTGAAACATGAGCCTCATGTCCTCATATGATCAGTAAACTTACTGGCTGCTATTCCTGTATCTGGGCATCCTGAGTCTCACTCAGGTCTATCATAGAGCTGATCATTCTCAGGGCTGGCTATGACATTCACTGCGGTAATGTCACCTGCCTCCACAGGTGTCTGGCTCTAAATCAAAGAGAAAAATCTTTTGTTTTTCTCTATTATGTATCTTTTTATTAGTAACTGGAGTGAAAAGATGAATATATATGGAATGTAGGTTATGAACTGCTCAGATTAGGGGAAAAAAGTCAATTTACAAAGAAATTAGGACTTGAGTATTGGAAAGGTAGTAAGTCAATGAAGTCTTTTCATGAAACAATAATAGTGTCACTCGGTGGAATAATAGTAAAATGGCTACAACCTTTTGTATTTTTTTTTTTTTTTGAGACAGAGTCTCATTATGCCACCCTCAGTAGAGTGCCAAGGCATCACAGCTCACAGCAACCTCAAACTCCTGGGTTTCAGCAATTCTCTGGCCTCAGCCTCCCAGGTAGCTGGGACTACAGGCACCTGCCACATGCCCGGCTATTTTTTTGTTGCAGTTATTTAGCTGGCCTGGGCTGGGTTCAAACCCGCTACCCTTGGTGTATGTGGCTGGCACATAACCACTGTGCTACGGGTGCCGAGCCAGAAAAATGGCTACAACTTTTAAAGTCAAATAGTGCAGCTGCAAAAGAAATACTTCCCATTCTGATTTTCATCACAAATCATTAGTTTAAAAAATAATGGCCTCTGACATCTTACTAATTTAAAGAATCATTTTTTAAGAGATGGCAATTTATTTTATTTCACTTGTTTTGGTATTGGTAGTTAAATATTTCATAGCCCAAAGACAGAAAAGTGAATACACTGTCTAATAATAAAAGCAAAAAACCACTAATCACTGTTGAAGGATAAAGCAAACAGACTATGCAGTTGTTCCTTTCTTTAAAAAAATTGTTTAGTATGATAAAAATACTTTTAAAAAGAACAATATCAAGTATATAATTATTACCCTTCTAATCTAACCAACATGCATTAAGTATGAGGGACATTTAAATAAGACCATAAAAATAAACCATGGAAAAGAAAATAAAAACTAAGTTTCATTAAAGGTGCAGTACCCACAATAAAAGGTTGATTAAAACAGTATCTTGTTATATGATGATTAGATGGCTAAATGAATGAGAAAAGAATTATCGCGCTGTAAGATCAAACATGTTCCATTCAAACAGATGTTTTTTTAAAATGTAAGAAAGATTAAGTTGAGATTCAAAGTATACCCTGAAGCTATTTGCATTTACTGCTAACACAAATTTCTGGATTATCCTTCTAGTCATGTTAAATATGAAAATGATGTGCTTAAAAATGTCACTCAAAATAAAGGTGAAACATTCACTCAGATGTGAAATGCTTTAATGTAAAGCTTCACTTTTTTCATGGAATCTAAAATAAAGCCTGTCCAGTTATCTTCACACTAATCATGTTTCCTTTCCAGCCCTAACTCTTAATGGATGATGGATGAAATAAGACATAGCCTGTAACCGAATGGGTTACTTTGTATACAAATTCATTTTCTTAGCCCTGTTTAAAAGGAAGTCACTCTTCTAACACTAAAATTTTGGGAGATAAGCTACCCTAAATCACATTTTCCCAGCTACGAAACCCATACACAATAAACTCAACAGCTAATCAAACTGTAGCTTTCAGATAGTTTAGGTAGTAATGCAGTACCTATATGTTCCACCAGAGTAAAATCACACTAAACCCCACAAGACTGTGTCCCCAATTCAGATGCTGATGAAAGGAGGAAGTCATCAAGGAGGACAAGTTGTTTCCATCTAGTACTCTAAGTTCTTGGGTTTTGCCAATCCCAGAAGCCGAGTTCTGTTTTACATTAACCAGAAACTTCTCATAAAACGTACGCATACCTCCCAAAATCAGTTTAGTGTTCAATGAAAACATATCCTAAAATACAATAAAAATTCTAAGGTAGTCAGAACTCACAATATCCATACTTACAGAGGCAAAAGAAGACCATTTCATAAATAACAAGTACAAAAAGAAAAAAGCTAAGCAAACAGGAAAAGAAATTGGAATGGTTTTTAGATAGACTCTGAAGGTTTGTCCATTAAAGAGCAGGTGCCTTCCAATCTGTTATCCTAATCCGTCTTTCATACAAAAAAAGTATGTATTGTAACTTCTTCTGGATGTAAGAATATTGGAGTGATCGTCGGAGAAACAGACTGGGAATATGCAAGGTGACTCAATTTACTTTGAGGGAAGCAAAAGCTAAAGAGTGTATCTTACAATAGCAAGAAATAAAAAAGGCTAATAACTGCAGAGGCAAAAAAATTTCAAACAGAATTAGAATGAGAAGAAAACAGAGCTAGTTACTAAGTCACATCTAGGCTTTCAACTTACAAAAGACATTTTAAAGAATGCTGATTAGATGAAACAATTTTGTTTAAAAGCAATAGTTAAGATATGGCAGAATACATGCCATGGTAGACACAACTTTGGCTTTACAGTTATGTGATCTATACCATGTCTAAAGTTCATCATACACAAGTAAAGCCTTTCTGATACCGTACGATAGTATCATGTTTGTTCTTAGCAATTACAAAGGGCAAAACCTGCTGCTGTCTTCCATACAAGCTTACTACTTTGGCCTAACCAATTAAACTAAAATCAAATGTCACTTCCCTAGTTAATCACTATACATACGTGAAACATGAAATTATGAAAATCAATTTCACTCAAGCTCAACACCAAAATCACATAGGTATCATATTTCTAAATTTATGTTATTCAATTAAGATGACAGTAAATGTTACTACCAAAACTTAAATTAGAGTGGAACTCAAAAAAAGACATCCTTTCCATGAATAAGACACTATGGAATGCTATGAACAAAGCCTCATTTTTGGATCTGATTAATCAGATCTAACTCTAATGACATTTCTCCTCGAGGTTAAGTCACAGAATTCTCTAATGGAAAATGTTCAATCATTTTCATCAAACCATAAAAAACTATAAGTTGCCTCTCAATTCCATAAATTACAACCACCCCAATCTGAAGTTCAGAAGTATTTCATAACAAAATAAAAATCCTTCCCTGATGATTTGTCTTAGTGAGGTACCTACCAAGGACTGGTGAAAATGAATTTTTTAGTTGAAAGAAAAAGAAAAATTCAATGAGTCAGCATCTGTCATGCCAGACCATGCTCAGTCTCCCACCACCCTACCCAGTACTTTACCCTCTGAGTACCTGAGGTGCTGAGGTGACTAGTTACCTGGTTTGAGGCTGGGACTGAACTCTCGGCTAGTGCTGGGAGGTGGGAAGGCCTCCAGGGCTGTCTGTGCTGGAAGGGTTCGATATGGAGGAGGAGTCAACTCTTCGTCACCAGAGAAGCTCCTCCGCACCCCACCTGTCATGGGCAGGCTCGACAAACTGACAGGCTTCTTCCCAACTGGCATCTTCCTCTCTAAATATCAAGTCAGACTAAAGTAAGCTTTTACTTACATGCGTGGTAGAAAAGTGCATTATATAACTAGGAAAGCGTGTTGCATAGGACACTGGAAAAAGAGAACCAACTATGCAAGGTCTGTATTTCTGAAAACAAGGGAGAGAGCGAGCGAGAGGGCGAGGAACTGAGAGAAAGAGAGAGAGAGAAAAGTGACTGTGTTGGGGGAGATTACTCTCTGAGAGCTTGACAATCCTGGTTCTGACTCTCAAATTTAGAACAAAACAAAGCAAAATGAACTACAGAGAGTTTTTTTTTTTTTTTGAGACAGACTCTTAAGCTGTCACCCTGGGTAGAGTGCCATGACATCATAGCTCGCAGCAACCTGAAACTCTTAGGCTTAAGCGATCCTCTTGCCTCAGTTTTTCTACTTTTTAGTAGAGATGGGGGGTCTTGCTTTTTGCTCAGACTGGTCTTGAACTTGTGAGCTCAAGCTATCCACCCATCTTGGCCTCCCAGAGCGCTAGAATTACAGGCGTGAGCCACCGCACCCAGCTAGAGAGCTTTATGTGTGGAGAAGAGCTGTTTAATTTAATTCAAGCAAATCTCTGCTTGAGGTGGGGTGAAAACTCCACTTCAGTAGTGTTTAAGGGTCTTAAAACACTACTTTTAGGGTAGCACTTCATTGCCCATATATGCCCAAACACCGGCCTTCAAGGAGAAGTCAAAGTAATAATAGTTTAAATGTGTTATCTGGGTGGCAGTATTTTATTAATATAAAATACGTTCACCTAACTTTTAGTTTATAAACCACTCTTTTAGAAAACCCTTGTAATTCTTATTCTTAAAAGTGTTTCTAAAATTCAACGATTACTGCTTACAAGTTCATAAACAATCTAATTTCTTTTGAAATAAATTTATCACACCCTTTGGCTAGTTTCATAAGCAAATATAAGTCTTCTAAGACTTGTACAAGACTTTCACCAATCAAAATCATACCCTAAACTTTGCAAATACTGAATAACCAAGCACAAGGCATTCATCAGGTTGGAAGTGGAAAGATACTTATTTATCTTTGTGACTGTAAGTTATGTCTATTTTCCTAGAGTATACAACAACTCAGGTAAGAGTGGTAAGAAAGTTACCCTTTACAACATCCGAGCTAAAAGATAAACCTAAGGCAGACAGTATTCCTATGTAAAATGATCTGGACCTAACTTACCAAAAAGCACAGAATCATGAACTGCCAAACCAAAATCACCAGCAGCAACCATTTAAAACTTTTTCTAATATACTACCTACTTAAGCGGTAAAAATGCAAAACGACATCTCCAACTCTTACTACTTACACTAGTTCCTAAAAGTGGTGAAATCTATAACAATAGTACTACCTTTTCCTGCTCTAGAATTACTATACCTTACAAAAAAGAGGCTTCTGAGATCAGACAATCTATGTTCCTCTCAGCAGGATGTTATTTATTTTCAAAAGTGCTAGTTAATAACTATCCCTTTACAGCACTGGACACAGCTCATTACAAAAATAAGCTAGGACAAAAAGAAACCAATCAACCATCTATTTCTGTAAACACCAAGTACTACCAAAGAACATACTGATGGATGATTTTAACTGCAAAAACACCAAAAAGCAGGCAGATGAAACAACAGAGCCAGACTATGACAATCTACAGGCAAACTTAAACCAAGGTTTTAAAGCCCATTTGCTATTGGTATAAGTCTGCATGCTATGGATGTTAAGTTTCTAAGCTTCAAATCCTTATTTCATTAACTAAAGTCTTGTGAGAAATATTTCTAGCCAACTATTCGTTGAAATTAATGAAAACTACTTCTTAATATAGCACTACAATTCCTTATCCTCAGTTCCAACATTTGAAACGTTTCTTAGTAGTAACTTCGATAACAAAACCATATGTCACCTGGTCATACTATTTATGGACTTTATTTGGTCCATTTAATGTAAACATTGACATATTTTGCTTCAGACAATGCCCCAGAGTCTGTAAGGGATGATATGTAAATTACATAGACTGTGACTCTTTTCTAAATTCCAAAAAACTATGAATTCCAAAACACATTTGTCCCCAAGAGTTTCTGATGTGGGACTGTGTGGGTCTGTAATCTTTTCCTTTCTATATCCAAGAGATAATTTAAGGGCATTAGAGATAATGTCATACTATTAAGTGCTGTTAAAATGTCACATTTAGCTACACGCAGAGCTAAATTCATTTTTCTAGCTAATCCGGAAATCTAGTGATGATAAATACCACTAAAAACTGGGGTACTGATTTTATACTTCATTAATCACATATTTCTACCCATGTCCGCAGCCCATAAATTCAAAATAATTTAAACCCCACAAGCCAGAAATGAACCTTGAGAGAGGCAAGTGAACTGTGCAGGTAGTACTTACAAATTAGTTCCAAAAAGCTATGTCATATATAGCCAGTAAATAATAAAGAGTTTTAAATTTGGTATCTTAGAAAGAAAATCCTCAACGTCTTGTTCAATGGGAAGTGAAAACACAGGCTAAAGTCAGCTGTGCTACTCACTTTATGGGAAGTTTAGCAGTCTCGCCTCCTATAGTAGTCCACTGACTTAAATATGCATGTGAATTCTTCCTAATTATTTCCAGACAAATAGGAATTAATTTTGATCTGGCAATGCTTTCTTTTATATGATGGGCAAAATAATTTTGGGCCTGTGGGAGGTTTATGCCTATGAAAGAGAAGATAAGAGAAAGGCCTGTGGGATTGTTTCTAGTATGAAGCTAATCTGGGTTTCAGGATGGGACTCAACTTGTTTTTCTATTTGGAGACAAAGTCTCACTGTTGCCTCAGGCTAGACAGCCCTGGCCTCAGCCTAGCTCAAGGCAACCTTTAGACTCCTGGGTTCAAGAAATCCTGCTGCCTCAGCCTCCCAAGGAGCTGGGACTACAGGTGCATTCTACAATGTCCAGCTAATTCTTTCTTTTTTTGTTTGTTTTTAGTACAGATACCATCTTACTCTTGCTTAGGCTGGTTTTGAACTCCTGAGCTCAAGTAACCCTCCCATGTCAACCTCCCAAGAATGCTAGGACTATAGGTGTGAGCTACTGTGCCTGGCCTGAAAACTTATTTTTCAAAACACCACTTTGGTGACTAGTTCTCTACTTAAGAAATTATGAACAAACAACTATAATTAGAAAGTTAAGAACAGGGTATATTTGATTTTTCATGCTGCTTTAGTCTCTTGATTGTTAATGAGACATATCACAGCACTATATGAACACCATATTTGCACATACTTGGTAAGGTAGCTGGAAAAATCTGTTTTAGTTTTAACCTTCAAGTGTACCTTTTAATTTTAAAGATACCTTTAAAAATTAACAGGCAAGGTGATAGCTCATGCCTGTAATTTCAGCAGTTTGGAAGCCTGAGGCAGGAGGACTGCCTGAGGCCAGGGAGTTCAAGACAAGTCTGGGCAACAGAGAGAGACCCTAAAACTAAAAAAACTAAAAACTAAAAACTAAAAAAACTAAAAAAATTAGCTAGGTGTAGTGGTGCCTGCTTGTATTCTTAGCTACTCAGGAGGTTGAGGTGGGAGGACTGTGTGGGCCTAGAACTCAAAGTTGCAGTAAATGTGGATCATATACCACTATACTCCAGTCTGTGTGACAGAGCAAGCGAACGATGACCTTGTCTCAAAAAACAACCCCCTCCCCCCGAAAAAAAACACCAAATCACCTTATCTCAGAATGAAATTGGGTAAATTTTATATTTACTTTGGCTATTACTACCAATAATCATTCATTGTAAAGTATAACACAGAAAGTATACTTAGGACAATTTGCTTAAGACTGACTTTGCTAACCCTCAACTTGGATTTCTTTCTTCTTTATGAGATAGAGTCTCACTCTGTTGCCCTGGGTAGAGGGCCATGGACCTCAGCAACTTCAAACTCTTGGGCTTAAGTGGTTCTCTTGCCTCAGCCTCCCAAGTAGCTGGGACTACAGGAGCCTGCCATAATGCCCAGCTAGTTTTTAGAGATGGGGTCTTGCTCTTGCTCAGGCTAGTCTTGAACTCCTGCATTCAAACAATCTACCTGCCTTGGCCTCTAAGAGTGTTAGGATTACAGGCGTGAGCCACTGCACCTGGCCTGGATTTCTTTTAAGTATTATTCTGGAGAATTTTGCTTTGTAAGAAGGATGTGTTTATTAGGCTCTAAGTCTACTGTAAGTATCAAACATCTGCTTTTTAAAATAATTAAAATCATTTTATAAAAGGATTAACTTTTAGTAGGTTTATATTATTTTGAGAACCATTCTTTGCCATGTATTCTTTAAATACAATGGTAATAATTTCTCCTGTCAATTAAATCTAAGTGGTTCTCATTATTGAAAAGGTTTGCCTTTTATGGCATACTGCACCTTTAAGCATGGTACATAATACATAATCATCAGTTCTCACAAGAGGTATCATTTTCTGTGTAAGAATACTGTAAGTAACCCCAATTGGTTAACAATTAGAAAATGTGTGTGAACACCATGTGGTGACCCACTTTTCTTATGTCCTTTGTATTGCTGGGACTTAGCCTTTTTCTTCTGTTTTGAAGATGCTGATTGGCTTTCTCTTGATGCTGAAAAATAAAAAAGGAAAATTGGTACCAGATAATTGCTAATTATTCTAGATACAACTTAGATAAACTATCTATTACCAAGACTATAATGCTTATAAAGAATACACGATGATTTGAAAGTAAGGGTATTTGTTCTGTTCCCACAAAACCATGGGCCTCGATACCAGACAGATTCCACTATTTACTCAATAGCACTTATATACTGATACATTTTTAGTTTGCAATTTTAAGCTCATTGAAAACAGTAAATCTAGTCCAATTTGTTGACTGTTGTGTTTCTACAGTTATTATGTAACTGATTATCGAGTTCACATTGTCATAGTACACACAGTCTGAGTCTGTGAGATTGTTGCTGAGTCTTAGTATCTTACCTGGCAACCAATCAGACTTAGGTATATTCTTGTCCTGTGAGCTCACAAGATGATTTATGTAAGATAGTCCTCTGGAGAACTGCTGATTTTTACAAAAGGACACCTTTTCTGTATACCAACTTACACTGTGATGCTGGAGGCTGTAGTTGATATCCAGTTAATTGACACCACCCTACAGGATAGAGGTCAGGGGACTCACAGTCTACCCACTGATCATACTCTTCTTCCCATCCATCAAAATGTATCCTTAAGAGACGATGAATAATTCGAGTTACTGTGGCTACACATATTAAACGTGGCTCCATGAGATCTACTGCTTCTAATTTCATTCCTACACGAAATCCGTGATTCGGAACATCCTGATATAGAGAAGCAAAACATCAACACTGGTGTAAAGAAGAAAGAATGCATAATTCCACTATCACTAAGAAATTAACAGAAGTAGCATAGTCAAGCAATATAATTTAAAACATAAATCCCAAGTAATTCTTTAACTATTTAAACATACTATAAAGGTGAAGCATTTAAGAACTAGTTAGGAAATATATTTATTTCTATTTTACTCAGATTAAAAATGAGAATAATCTGGAAATAAGCTTTGATTCATAAGAAAATATACTGCCTGACTAATTCTTACGCTAGTCAAGTGAAGAAGTTGAGAGTGAAGAACAAAAAAAAATCTATAACTGGTTGTGATCAATTAGCTATAAACACTAGACCACACTCAAGACAGCTATATTGTTTTATACTTTACATTTGTTTGTATTAATCTCCACTAAGAAATTCTAACAATGATTTGCATTTGTGGGGTATCAACCCCCCCATAATTATTATGCTGTTATTGAAATTTACCTTATTAAATAGCTTTACTGGTGCTGCAATGGAGCCAGTTTCCCTGAGGTAGTCAAACCATTTAAAAGGAAGTTTTGTGTAACCTAAAAAAACACAACTGGTTTAAGCAGCAGTTCATTTAAAAATGAGAATTTTAAAATGGAGACACAAAGTAACTCAGTACACAAAATCTTGTATTTTAGGATGTATGATTAACTTTTAACTCACGCTAACACTGTTAAGTGCAACAATTCCTCCATGTTGTAAGAAAATTGCCCACCTTTCTAAACATATAGGTGTGCCTACTTACCCTAATGCCAAAGTGACTCTTCTCTGTTTACTGCAAGGACAGACTTGCTTTCTCAATCCTAGGCTTTAGAACAGCCTACCATTTAATACTCTGGAGTGATGTTTTTCTTTCTTTGCAAGAAAGAAAATTAGCTAAGAGAAAATATTACTTTCACAGACCCTAGTTTTACTTTTGCCCCCTTCTTTTTTTAGAGAAAACCCTAATGCTCAAATATTAAAAATGAATCATGGGTTAAGTCATTAAAGTAAGATAGGACTCCTTTTAAAAGGCCACATGGTAATCCAAGGTGGAAACTTCTTTGAGAAAGGCTGAAGTAACTATTTAGGAAAAAAAAGTTTATCTATGCAATTGCCTGTTGCTATCTATATTACTGTCTCAATAGGACTTGAAAATATAATGAAATCATATCGTAAAATATATAGATGCTCAGGAAAAATTCTATACTAATATAATTTTTAAACCTAGCTTTATGTTTTTAGGGCACCCCACAACTCTTTTGTGTATGTGTATGTGTATTTATATATACACACATACATATGTATTCACATAGCAAGAAAATTTAGAATTGTGTTATATGTTGTTAACAGATACCATGTAAGAAGCAAGCAAGGATTAAAGCCTAATGTTTATATTGGAATGAAATACCTCTGGGTGGAGTAAGTTCAATCATGTTAATTTCACAGAAACCGACAGGGAAAATAGAAGGAGAGGTTGCATGATAACAGAACCAGTCAGATCCATCTGCTGCTTCTGAGCCATCGATCCCAATCATCAGGAATCCTTCAGCCAGCACCTTTTAAATTAATAAAATCATAAGTATTTGAAATCAGATACCACTATTATAAAAATACTTTAAGCAACATTCTACAAGAAAGGAAAATCAATCACATAAAAGTATTTAAAAGGGAAAAATGGTTCTTTATTGAATTATGTTAAATAACAAAAATTAAAATTAAAAACCTATGCAAATTTTAATGTGTACCAGAAAACAAAGCAGGATTACACAGAAGTGATTTCAGAGGTCAGGAAAAGCAGTGTTTCTGCCAATGGCTAAAGCTGCCTGCTGTTGTGACGTTATGAAATTGGGCTGAGTACTCTTCTACAATTTAACTGTCGAGTCTTAGCTAGGCTCTATTTCTTTTTTTGTTGAGAAGGGGGGGGCGGTGTCTCGCTATGTTGCCTAGGCTGCAGTATGGTGGCTATTCACAGATGGGATCATAGCCCACTACAACCTTGAACTCCAGGGCTCAAGTGATTCTCCTGCCTTAAGTAGCTGGGACTGCAGGCAGATACATGCGACCACATGCAGCACTGGCTAGGCTCTAAATCCTATTGGTAATACCTTTACTATCACAGAGAGGAGTTTTTCCAATCTATTCCATCTTCTTCAAGCTCTATCTTGACCTCTCTTCTGCTATAAACAACCATGCTACTCTGTGACAGATAACTAAGGATGGTCCACCTAAAGGGCCTCTTGCTACTTTCTTTATGCCTCAGATATATGCCTCTTAAAAACTAAAACAAACTTCTCCATCTTGTCCTACTACCAATGGGACCTTGCTCTAAATATACTCTCTCTTACACTCTAAAAAATGTTTCCCAATTTCCATTAAAAATATTTTATTTGAAATAGGTTCAAAATTATAAAAATAGTACAATGAACTCTATTCACCAGAGACTCAATTCTAGTTACATACTATGTAACTCCTTGCAGTACTATTTCTGTCCTTATCTAACTGCGCAAACTTCACATTATGGTCTACTGCTCAATCTTCTCACCTCTCTGACGTTTCTTTTGGTGGTTGCCCTTTTCCCTCTGACCCTTCCTTACACTTCCGATTTCACTTCTTTCTGTTTTGATGATCCAGGTCCCACAACTATACCTCAAACACTTAGTTCCTTCTTTCCTTATCCTTGCCATTAATCTCTTGACTTTTTCTTCTTTTTTTTTTTTTTTAACTCCAAATGTCTGAGGCAGGAAAACAAGGCTGCCCGCTCATGGCAGTCCTGACAATGGTCCTCGGGGCTGATGTTGGCCTCCATCCTTGGCTGAGGAGAAACTGGACCCTCCACAGCCCCAAGAGAGATAGAGACGCCCTTGATTTTCTCTTTTGCTATCATTACTTTTAGCAATCCTCTACCAACAACTCCCATCTTAAACACAGTTAAACTTTACTTCACTATTACCTCTATTCTCACCAGAAATCTTTATCAACTAATCCTGTCTACGAAACAACTTTCAAATAGCTTGACCAAACCTGTAAAACCTGTAGTACCTGGTTCTATATTGTCTTGCAGTCTCTGCCCCAAGTTCCTTTCTCCAAGTTACCTCTATGCATTAACTTCTTTCATTTTCGTAAACACAGCTGATTATGCCAGAAAGGGTCCAGGTACATTAAAAAAAAATATAGAGCTGACTAGACCAAGGGCTTCTATACGTCATCAGGCAGAGAATCGAGCCAAAGGCTGAGCTCAGCTACTGAGATTTCTTTCAGCAATTAGAACTAATAGACACACAGGCTGTTACCAAGTCACAGGTGGGGGCTGGAACCGAAGGCTATGATAGAAAACAGGGCTAGAGCCCCAATGTGGAGACTGAACGAGCAGGAAACCAATCAAGACAGTGTGAGAGACAAGTGGCACAGACTCAGGATGGAGCAGAAATGGGACAAAGAGAGGTGAGGAGAATGATCCTGGGGCCGTGCCTTTCCACTTCTCACCCCTCTGAGACTGCACACCACATCCTTAGAGCTGACTCCTGGAGCTCAACTCCTTAGAGCTCAACTCTCCTGGAGCTGACTTTAACGGGTTTGTTTCTTCTAATAAAAAATCTTGCCTGAATATCCAATGCAACTTTTTGGGTATGTATTGCATGTGGATTACTTGCCATTCCTAAATTTATTCTGTACTTTGCCATCTTTATGCTTTTGTGAACATTCTTTTTTCATAAGTTTCCTCCTGCATCTTTGCTGGGCCTATTTTTTCTGTCCTTCAAGACATAGTTTCCAAAATTTTCTTTAATTCCCCCAAGATGCAATCTCATCTTTCTTGGCATTCCAACTTTGTATTTCTCTTACAGTCTATTTTGTATTAAAATTATTTTTCCACATCTTACCTTTGTTCTGTAAGACTAAACTTTTTAAGAGTCCAAACCAAATCTACTGTAACAATTATTATTTTCTTTCTTTTGAGACACAGTTTCACTTTGTTGACCTTGGTAGAGTGCAATGGCATCATAGCTCACAGCAACATCAAACTCTTGGGCTCAAACAAATGACTCTCTTGCCTCAGCCTTCCAAGTAACTGGGATTATAGGCACTGGCCACAATGCCCAGCTATTTGCAGAGATGGGGTCTCACTCAGGCTGGTTTTAAACTCCTGAGCTCAAGCAATCCACCTGCCCGGCCTTCCAGAGTGCTAGGATTACAGGTGTGATACACCTCACCTGGCCTTTATTAATTATTTTCTTTTATTTTTCATAATGAGATAAACATTTTTTTGATTTTAAATTTTATTTTTTATTGTTGTAGATTCATTGAGGGAACAAAGAATTAGGTTATATTGATTGCATTTGTTTGATAAAGTCCCTTTTTATTATTTTCTAATGATGCTTGATATTCTTCCCCCAGGACACTTTGTTTTCATTTCACAGAACAGAGATGGTATGATGGTGCTATGTTCCCAAACTGATGATTCAAATTAGAATCACCTAGAGAACTTTTCTCTTTCTTTCTTTTGAGACAAAGTCTTACTATGTTGCCCTCGCAACAGAGAGTGCTGTCGCATCATTGCTCACAGCAACCTCTAACTCTTGGGCTTAAGTGATTATCTTGCCTCAGCCTCCCAAGTAGCTAGGACTACAGGTGTATGCCACAACGCCCACCTATTTTTTTTTTTTGTTGTTGCAGTTGTCATTGTTGTTTAGCTGGCCTGGGTTGGGTTTGAACCCACCAGCCTTGGTGTATGTGCCTGGTGCCCTACCCACTGAGCTAAGGACACTGCCCTTCTTTTTAATTTTTTTTTCAGTAGAGACAGAGTCTCATCTTCTTGCCCTCAGTAGAGTGCCATGGCGTCACACAACTCACAGCAACCTCCAATTCCTGGGCTTAGGCGATTCTCTTGCCTCAGCCTCCCGAGTAACTGGGACTTATAGGCACTTGCCACCCTCGGTACATGGGGCCAGCTGCCTAACCACTGAGCAACAGGCGCTGCCCTCTTTTTTTTTTTTTTAATTGAGAAAGAATCTCACTGTCACCCTGGGTAAAACGCCACGCAGTTGTAGCTCATAGCAACCTCAAAATCTTGGGTTCAAGCAATCCTTTTGCCTCAGCCTCCCCACTCGCTGACACTATAGGTGCCTGCCAGAACGCCTAATTTTTAAAAAATTTTTAATAGAAATGGGGTCCCATTCTTGCTCAGGAAGGCTGGTCTCAAATTTCTGAGCTCAAGCAATCCACCAGTCATGGCCTCCCAGAGTGCTAGGATTACAGGTATAAGCCGCCATGCCTGGCCTTCCTTTCTTCTCTTAAACAAGTACAATTTCTCAGAAACCCTAGGTAATTAAAAAAAAATTTTTTTAAAGACAAGAGTCTCACTTTGTTGCCCTCGGTAGAGTGCCATGGCACCAAAGCTCACAGCAACTTCAAATTCTTGGGCTCAAGTGATCCTCTTGCCTCAGGCTTCCAAGTAGCTGGGACTATGGGTGCCCATCACAGCCCAAGCTATTTTTAGAGATGGGGGTCGGGTGGGGTGGGGGTGTCTCACTCTTCCTCAGGTTGGTCTTAAACTCCTGAGCTCAAGCAATCTACCCCCTGAGTGCTAAGATTACAAACATGCGCCATAGTGCCCTGCCAATAAACAAACAAACAAACAAAAAAACACTGATTCATTTTTTTGTAGAGATGGAGTCTTACTAGGTTGCTCAGGCTGGTCTTGAACTTCTGGTGTTGAGCAATCTCTCTGCCTCCACTTCCCAAAGTGTTGGGATTATAGGTACGAGCCATCATGCCCAGCCTATTTATTATAATTCTGGTAGAGTAGGTATGGAGTAGGTCATGGGAATGTGTGTTTTAAATTTTTTTTTTTCTGAGACAGAGCCTCAAGCTGTCACCCTGGGTACAGTGGTGTGGCATCACAGCTCACAGCAACCTCCAACTCTGGGGCTCAAGCGGCTATTTTTGGTTGCCGTCGTCATTGTTGTTTTGGCGGGCCCGGGCTGGATTCGAACCTGCCAGCTCAGGTGTATGTGGCTGGTGCCTTAGCCACTTGAGCCACAGGCACTGAGCTATGTTTTAAATCTTATCGTGTGGTTCTAATCACTAGTTAGGTAAAGAAGAACAGGGTTTGGAGCCAGTCTTATCTTCCTGAGTGACCACCAGGCATACAGGCATAATTCTTTTGGCTTTAGGTTTTAAACTTTTTTGAAATGCAAATCACAATTTAAGTTACAGCTTTATGAAAGCAGATTCCACACAGTATTTCTTAACCATGGCTTTCATGAGAATCACCCGGGGCCTTCAAAAAAATGTCAATATTCATTTTTATTTTCTAAAAATTTATTTTATTTACTTATTTTTTTAAGACCGAGTCTCACTCTGTCACCCTGGCTAGAGTGCCATAATGTCATCATAGCTCACAGCAACCTCAACTCCTGGGCTTGAACAATCCTCCTGCCTCAACCTCCCAAGTAGTTGGGAGTATAGGCGCCCACCACAACACCCGGCTAGTTTCTCTATTTTTAGTAGAGATAGGGTCTTGTTCTTGCTCAGGCTGGTCTTAAACTCCTGGGCTCAAGTAATTCACCCTCCTGGGACTCCCAGAGTGCTAAGATTATAGGTGTGAACCACCATGCCTGGTCAATACACATTATTAAAAAAAAAAAATAAGATTTTAAAGGCAATGTCTGTAAGGTAATAAAAAAATAAATAGTATCAATGCACTCCCAGTGGGGTGCCTAATGCCTAAATTCTTAGCTACTTGGGAGGCTGAAGAGGAAACTTCGAACTTGAGCTAAGGAGTTTGAGACCAGTCTGGGCAACACAGAGAGACCATGTCATGAAAAAGAAAATCAAGGGTCCTAATCAAGTCTGACTGTATCAGAATGTAACAGAAGGGATCTGCTTGCCTGTATTTTTAGAGTTCCCCAGGGAATCTGATGCTTTACTGAGACCTGAGAACCACTCTTACAGATCTTTTTGTAAGAGTAGTTTCAGAGAAGAGACAAAAGAGAAAAGAAGAAACTAATTTACTACCAAGAAGAAAAAGGAAACAAAGAAATTAAAGATAAACTTGGCTTTCCTATAATTCTGTGTTGGACTGGGCTTGACCAGGAAGTAACTTTAATAAATACTGTTATTTCTTTCTTCCTTTTTTCTTTTTCTCTAGAGACAGAGTCTTGCTGTGTTGCCTGGGCTGGAGTGCACTGGTGTTGTTATAGCTCACTACAACCTCAAACTCTTGGGCTCAAGTGATCTTCGCCTCAGCCTCCCAAAGCATAGATTACAGGAATGAGCCACCTTGCCTGGCTTAAATACTTTTCTTCTAACATAGGATACACTTTCACAAGTATAGGCACAGATTCAAAATAATAATCTTTTTTTTTTTTTTGAGACAGATTCTCAAGCTGTCGCCCTGGGTAGAGTGCTGTGCTGTCACAGCTCACAGCAACCTCAAATTCTTGGGCATCCTTAAGCACCCAAGTAGCTAGGACTACAAGTACCTGCCGCAACTCCCAGTGATTTAATTTAATTTTTTTTTTTTTTTGCAGTTTTTGGCCAGGGCTGGGTTTGAACCTGTCACCTCCGGCATATGGGGCCAGTGCCCTACTCCTTTGAGCCACAGGTGCTGCCCGACTCCCGGCTATCTTTTTGTTGCAGTTGTCTCTCTTGTTTGGCAGGCCCAGGCTGGATTCAAACCTGCCAGCTCCGGTGTATATGACTGGTGTCCTAGCTGCTGAGCTGCAGGTGCCAAGCCCAAAATAATAATCTTGATAACAAACTATATTAAAAAGATTTCATAAAAGAACTGCAACTTATTTGAAATTCCTATTAACTTTCTACACAGTAAAAATCCGGAGACACATATATTTTATATCAACATAAATATGCTAGGGGCCCCCTTTTCCTATTAGCTTATATCTGGTTCCTTGTAACAGCATTTATATATTTTAAAATTTATCTTCTTACCTTTCTAATGGTCGCGACACATATTGTAGAAAGATTTAATGGGTCTATAGCTTCCAATTTCATTCCTTCCTTGAACCATTCCCCACTCTGGTCTACTTCTTTTACCTAAAGAATTATATGAAAGCACATCTACTATATAAATGTTGTCATTTTAATAATTAAATATTACCAATGTGAAAAGATTTACCAGGTGCCTTCTCCTACCTACCTACTATTATAACTTGAACTTCCCTTAAGGTTTAGAGAGAAATCAGACAAATAAAATTTAAGAATAATTATAATAAAGAGTTGTGACACCTATGGATTACATGGTCTTAATTCTTTTAAGTGAACATATATGTAATTGTGATGTCCATAATTTTAGGAAAAAAACCCACAACCCTCTTTCAAATCTAATTTACAAATGAGGGTTCTTATAAAAACTTCTTACCTTAGCAAATAAATGTGGTGGTGTATCAAAATGTCCATCCTGTTTCTTTGTAATATCTACAAGGAAAAGTTACATACTAATCTGTCAGCATTTGTGAGAAGACCAAAAACCACGTTTCTTTGAAGGCTTCAAACTCATAAGGTATGTAATACTATAAAACACGGCAAAAAGACATGCCTTCTACATGTATGGTGAATAATATCCTTTACTAGTCTTTTCTCTTTTTGGAGTACATGTGCATATGCTATCAAATACCTTCAGCCAATTAGAATGCTCATAATTCCCTAGTTAGAGATTTACAACTTCAGAAGCATGTTTTCAGGTGTTTACTCTCAATTCTAACCAAATTTAATCTTGCTATCTTGATTAAAACTGAATGAAGAGAAAGGTTATCTTTAGATCTTTCAAATGGGCTGAATAAAAAACGAGTAGAAAATAATTAGTTGTGACCAAAAGTGCATTATTTTTTAATTGAGAGAAATGGAAGAAATAAAGACACTAATATGGTGTGAACTTTTATTAATTAAGGAAGAATAAGCAGCCCAAACAATTAGAATGCTATATTTGATCTCTGCAATTCTGTAGTGGTACAACCAAGTAGTGTAATGCACAGTGTCAATGACACTTCCCAAAGGAGTGCTTGTCTTAAGTGCTTACCAGATCTTTTGAATCGATGGCCTATGCTTCGTGACCAACCAATATGATGGATTAATGGGCTATGCATATGGCACCAGAAGTCATCTGTTCTATCTTCACTCTCTTCATACACTAGTCTTAATCTTCCTCCAATTACACTTTCCACAACTGCTACTCGTGTTCGACACAAGTGCCTCTTGTCAACCACTTCTACCCTCATGCAGGGTTTGAAAGGGTACTGCATACTCTCTGAAACCTTAAAGCAAAGCAGACAGAACCTGTTCGAAATTCATGGCAAAGATCTGCAAATAATTTTAATATTGTACTGTTAAAAATAGTGAATGTCCTTGAAATTTAACACAGATCATCTAGCTCATCACATTAAAACAATTTTTCCTTAAAAATCTTCTAAGTTACTCCTTTTGTTAGAGCTCTTCAGTCTTCCTAAGAATCTGCTTTTACCTTTTGTGAGAAATCAGGAGGAAGTGTTTTGGCACCAGTAAGTCGTTTCACTAGAAAAGCTTTCCAGTTTGTATACTTATGTTGAATAGCTAAAACAAAAGAAATAACCAGTTACACATTTAACAAAAAGAAGTGCTTCATAAATTATTTGTTAAAAAACAGTAACAAGGCTCGGCGCCTATGGCTCAAGTGGCTAAGGCGCCAGACACAGAGACCTAAGGTGCCGGGTTCGAATCCCCAGCCTGGCCCGCCAAAACAATGACGGCTGCAACCAAAAAATAGCTGGGCATTGTGGTCCCAGCTACCTGGGAGGCTGAGGCAGTAGACTCGCTTGAGCCCAGGAGTTGGAGGTTGCTGTGAGCTGTGATCCCCCCCACTCTACCCAGGGGGATAGTTTGAGGCTCTGTCTCAAAAAAAAAAAAAAAGTAACAAATTTCCCTGCAAGTCAGATTATTAATTAAGGTTCTAAAAAGTGACCATACAGAGAAAACAAGTATATGTATTGCTGACAAAAAAGTTGCCAACACCAAAAAATACTATTTTAATTACTCTCTCTTTTTTTTTTAGACAGAGTTCTATTATGTCGCCCTTGGTAGAGTGCGGTGGCCCCACAGCTTACAGCAACCTCAAGCTCTTGGGCCCAAGTGATTATCTTGCCTTAGCCTCCCAAGTAGCTGGGACCACAGGCACTTGCCATAACTTCTGGCTATTTTGTCATCATTGTCGTTGTTGCAGCTGTCATTGTTGATTAGCTGATCTGGACCAGGTTCGAACCCACCACCCTCGGTGTACATGGCTGGTGCCATAACCACTGTGCTATGGGTGCCAAGCTACTATTTTAATTTCTATATTACTTTATTGTTACCAAGCATAAAATAGGATTAAAGCAAACATATATAAAATTACACTATAGGTAAATAAGCTACTTACTTCTAGGAGGAACAAGAGGTTTTCCACTGGCTGCACACCAACCAACTGGATGGATATCAGAACCACATATATTGCACCAGAAGTCCAAACCAGAGTCATTTTCAAATCCTTCATATCTTAAAAGGGCATTGTAACCTAAAACGAACAAAATCATTCACTATGTTTTAAGAAAACAAAAGTAAATCAAACAACATAACATTTGATAACAATTGGCAAACTTTAGTGTGTATCTGTAATAGAATCACTCATGGGGTTTGTTAAGATTGATGGCTGGTTCCCCACTCCAGAAATTCTGATTTAATAGATTTTTTGAGTGAGTCTGAAAATTTAAATGTTTAATAAGTTACCAGGTGATACTACTGCTTCTGGTCTATGGACTAAACTTTGAGAACCATTTCTTTAATGTAATTAATTTATCTGTTTTCACAGCATGGTTTCCTCCTTCGAATATAATTTAATTTTACCTGTAATGTCTCTAGAAAGTTTTTTTTTAAAAGGCAGAGTCTTACTTTGTTGCCTTCGGTATAGTGCCGTGGTATCATAGCTCACAGCAACCTCCAGCTCTTGGGCTCAGGCGATTCTCTCGCCTCAGCCTCCTGAGTACCTAGGACTACAGGTGCCCGCTGCAATGCCTGGCTATTTTTTTGTTGCAGTTTGGCTTGGGCCAGGTTCAAACCTGCCACCCTCGGTATATGGGGCTGGCGCCCTACTCACTGAGCCACAGGAGCCGCCCGAAATTTTTTTTTTTTTTGAAAAAAAAAAAAAAATTCTCAATGAAATCAAGGGTGGGACTTTCTACCATAATGCATTGTTTTGAAAATAAAGAAAAGTGATCAGGTAATAAAACCCTGATAAGTCACATAAATCCAGTCCAAATCCACACACATATACGCATACATATATACTTGACATATATATATTTGAGTCTCAAAAAATTTATATATATACACAAATATATGTGTATTATATATATACACATATAAATATATGTGTATTTATATATACACACATATACATATATACATACATATATATATATATACATATATAAATCTTTTTTTGAGACAGAATCTCACTATGTCACTCTTGGTAGAGTGCCCTCAAAGTCCTAGGCTTAAGTGATTCTCTTGCCTCAGCCTCCCAAGTAGCTGCGACTACAGGTGCTCGCCACAACACCCAGCTATTTTTTTGTTGCAGTTGTCATTGCTGTTTAGCAGCCGGGGCAGGGTTCGAACATGCCAGCCCTGGTGTATGTGGCTGGCTCCCTAACCACTGAGCAAAAGGCGCTGAGCCTCAAGTATGTTTAAAAGAAATTTCTTTATCCAATTGATTAGGTGGTTGATTACTCTCGGATAATCTGAATATGGCTTATTCAAGAATCTAAATTTTTCTGTCTTATTTATTTCAAAATAAGATTTGAACATGCTAGGTAAAAAGTTCAATGAAAACAAACAAAAGTATGTGAAATCACTTAAAATTGTATATCCTTTGCAAATAGGAAGACATTTCTTAGATTAAAAAGTATATAATATATCCTGTTTATAATTAAATAAAACTTATGCTGATAACAGATTAAGGTTTAATTTAAAGCCTTTAATGGAATAAAAAAGGGCCAATAAACTCATACTTTAAGCTAGGAGCAAAGTACAGTCAGCATTTTTACATTTTAACATCTATGATGAAAATTCATAGCATGAAACCTTTAGTTTTACAATCAACAATTTACAGAAAAATTTAGGAGTTTGCTAATTATTGCTGAACTCTGTGATTTAACATCAAGGCTTACTTGTACAAAGGCATTAAACTGACTTAAAAAAAGTTAAATGATGTAATTAAAGAAATGTAAAATCAGAGATGGAAGATAGAAATAATCCTTCAATCTTTTTTTTTTTTTTTTT